GCTGATTTCTTAACATTCTCCCTAGCGATTGAAATATTTATTTGCCGTGACAGTAGTCGGTGTTCGAATATAATTATAAATCTAGGATTCAAATAGTGAAATCTTTGGGCGAAAGGCTATTGGCACTATCCTTCTAACGGACCTTTTGTGATCTCCGCAGCTATGGAAAATCTTGGAAATCTATCCAAGCAATAAGGTTACCAGAGTTGTATTTTTCGATAGATCAGTAAGTTCTGTCAGCACTTACCGACACACAAGATTTCCTTGTGTCATATTAGTTTTAGCTGAGTAAATATGGCCTGAGTGCAACCCGATGTAAGTTAGGAGATTTAATTTGCAACTCTGGTCCGTCACAAGAGTTTTGAAATTGGAATGGTGATGTTTTTGACAAGGTTCCACAGGAACGGAATATTTAGAGCCTCGTTGAGTATGGCTGATTAGAAATGCCATGAAACTGATTTAATGCTGATCTCGCAAACTAAATGTATATCTCTTGATTGAATAAGTTTGACATTAATCTGCTGGTCTATTATTGTCTCTCCATAAATAGTTTGATCGGCCCGTTACTTCAGTGCAAGACATTGAGTGTAATTTTTTATGACAGACCACAATTGTTAAGTGCTATGCGCCCAACTAATAAAGTCTAATTTGCACCGGTTCGTTCACTCGATTATTTAATATAATGGATACTTATAGCATCCATTTGCTGACGGGAACAAACGGACAGAAAAATGTGAAGCCTATTGGAGAACAAGCATATTCTGCATATGATTTGGCTCTATAGATAAGTCGATTTATCTTGAACATAACAGAAGTTTTAAACCAGAAAGATGAAGAAGAGACTTGATCTAACAGAAATGTGGTTCTACAGAAACATGCTTAGGATGCCATGGACTAGACATGTGACTAACAACGAGGTTTTGAAGAAAATAGAAACAAAATGGAAAACTATCCCATACAGCAGCCGTCCTGGGTATGGCGATAAACTATATCCACGTCCTGGGTAAGACGATAAACCACGTCTAACAGCAAGGCCTCTGATGCGGAGGTTTTGAGGAGCGAGGAACCATCACTTAGTTGCCGGTGTTCCCAGGTCTACTCTGACCCGGGGTGGTAGCACCTGTTATGGAGCCATCTATGGGCAAATAGCTAGCAGCTAAACTTGTGTAAAAATAGATTCTAATACCAGAAATACTTTGTATTAAAAAAATTATTACCAGCAATAATTTTTGAAGGAAAAATCATTACCAGCAATAATTAAAATTTACAGTGAAACATATACTTTTAGTGTGTGTAGATTTTGATCTAGTGCGAAAGAAATATTACCATGAGTTATGAAAATAAACACTTTTTACAAAAATAAAATCATCAAAGACTGTAAATTTTCTTAAACGAAGTTGGATTGTACACAAAAATATGAATAATTGAAAAATGGTTCAAATATATATTTATACATACACACCTTTTTTTTTTACCAAACTATCGCTACGAATTTTTTTCGAAAATTTTATTGCCATTAAATGACCCACTGAGGTTGATATACCATAAAACAAAACAACCAACCAAAACAGCTTAATAAATGACTGAATGTTTATGTTTTGCGTTTCATTTTTATCTTATTTATGATTATTGTTTGCTTAAATGTATACAGGTTAGAATTTAAAATAACGTCTTTTCACGAGCCATTCATTTGCATTTAATTTCTCTACGTCAAAACAGATTCTGCAAAAATGCGAATCAAAAAATAAATTTTCACTTTTGTACGAAAAGCATTCAATCATGGTTGATGCTGTCTCCCGACAAATTCTTTATGCTATCAGGTACCTTTAAATCTTTATCATCCTCTTTTGCAGCTATGCGATCGGATTTACACAGAATTAGCTAAATAATCAACTCGCTATTTACATTATTCAGACTATTGTCCTCGTCTTTGTTGCCATATTTATCACAAGGTTTCGGCCGTTGTACTCCTGAAGGTGGTTGGAATGTCGAACTGAACCCTTTATTTCGTTCGTTGTGGTAGATTGTTTTAGTTCCACATACCATGTCTAATGGATGTCATTATCAGTTATCTCCGGTTATGTCACCTCTCCACTGCCTTAAACAGGTATTGAACTCACACGGTCACTTGATCACACAGTCACTGGCCTGTGCCATGTGTCCTCAATGACACATGGCACAGTGAATAAAGGCGTTGGTTAGATCCAGTGTCAGTGTGAGTACAATACCTGGTAAAGGCAGTGGAGAACTTGGAGAGGTGGATTAATAAGAGATAACTGACCTCCATTGGACATGGCACGTAGAACTAGAACAATCTAGCCCAGCTAGCGAAATAAAGGGTTCAGTTCGACATTCCAACCACTTTCAGGCTACAACGGCTGTGATAAATGTATATACAAAGATGAGGACAATATTCCGAATAATATAAATAGTGTATTATAAATTCTTCCCAATAGATATAGATATAATATTCTATATATATCTGTTATTATTTTATATGAACTGTCATGTAAAAGGTAAATTTATCAGTCTATCTTTCAACATTATGAGTTCCAAATAATTCAAAATCTAGTTCGCTTTGCCCATATCAGTGTCCCTGGAGCTCCCGTTTTCCTTAAAGAATTTCCACGTGTCCTACTTGTTTTTCATAACCTGTGCTATGTGTGGATAGAGTAATGGATGACGGCTCGGTAATTAGAGATCCGAAAATCCAAGTTCTAATTCTAGACGGGTTGATTACATTCATTTACGCGCAAATACACTTGGGAGTGGTATGAATCTATAATTTCCTCCAGCTATTAGTTTGTATGACGTATATCAGGAAAGATCAGTGTTATTTAAAAAAAAAAAACTTGTTGATGCAATATTCTTTCGCAAAAAAAACAAAGAAAAACAAGAGATGATAATTCATATAAACTAAAATATACGAAAATGTTTTTTTAGCATAAGAATCCAACGATGTTCTTTTATTTCTAACCGAAATTTTTATCATAATTTTTTTGTTAATTCCCGGAAGCCACTGCGCCCCCACAAAAAAAACAATGATCTGGAATTAGAATAAAAGACGTAAGAACCTCTTTAAATATTGTAGACTGTCATTACACAATCACAAAGTAGCAGTTAACAGAAACAACATCACTTGAGCACTTTATAGAGTAGCAATAGATAAAACGAATACCATATGTAATTTAAAAGAGAAAATAATTAAATAATCAAGATGTTACATTCCATGTCATCTCAAACGAAATGGAAGGAAGGAAACCTCCATTAATGCTTGATATAGCGATAACAATTACTGTGCATGATAAAACTATTTTCCATAAAAAAAAAAAATTACTATAAAGATTTTGTAAAATTTCAACCGACAACATCACTGCCTACTAGGTAAAAAGAATTGCGAAAGTTTCTCATAAGGAAAAACAAACGTTTCTTATGACACTATTCACGTTAAATTCTTCTATTTTAAACATCTCCATCATAAAAATATCCATAGATTTGGAATTAGGAAATACCAAACACTTCAAATGCCTCAGTGTAAGCACCGTTTTGAGAAATATAGTATTACAGACAATAAAATTGAAAATAGTCCGCGTTAGTAGTAGTTTCGACCAATAGCATAAATTGCTACATGGAGTCGAAACACTAAACAGAAAACTCGAGTCACGTTCCTTAGAACAAGACTTTCATATAAAAGTAATGCATGACCCCAAAGTCATTAAGAAATATCTAAACAGACAGTTGTATATAACCGTTTCCTAAGATCAGTGGTTAAAATGATTTTGAGCGAGTAAAATCTCATGGATCTTGGAGAAGAACCTCTTCAAATATTCTAAACTATCGTTACACAATCCCAAAGTACCAGTTTACAGAAACAACATCCTTTGAGCACTTTCAAGTGTAGCAATAATGAAAACGAATACCATATGTAATTTAAAGGTTTCATATAATTAAATAATCAAGATGCGGACATTCCATGTGATCTCAAACGAAATGGAAGAAAGGAAACCTCCACCAATGCTTGATATAGCGATAACAATTACTGTGCATGAGAAAACTATTTTCCTAAAAAATATATATTTAAGAGAAAGATTTTGTAAATTTCAACCGACAACATCACAGTCAGCTCAATTAAAGAATAGCGAAAGTTTCCTTATAAGGAAAAAAACAAACGTTAAATTATTCTACTATCTTGGTTGCAAAATTACAATGAATAGCTTACCAATTGGGATGTATCTTTTACTGATAAATGTGTTTTGTCTTCTGAAAATTATCAGTTAGTCTATACTTCTTATTTTCTTATCGTATATTAAGTGCAATATTACTTTTCCTTCTGCGACTTCCATCAAATCAATGCCAGCCACATATCTTGTTTTGGTAAATTTCTGTCAGTTAATTATAAATTCTTGTCTAAACGTTCTCTCAAAATTGTTTCGCTGTAAAATTAAATCAGGTTAGAATATGCATACTTATCTTTCTCTATAAATTTCTTCAGAAATACTATTAAATCAGCTGAGAAAATGTATACTTGCCTTTCATCAGAACAGTTTCCAAAGATACTATTAAATCTGGTGAGAAATTACATATGAATTTTTCACTTTCTGTGCACTCATTGATCTAATTCCAACTATCACCAGACAAGCTGTTAAGTTGCCCAATATTTTTTTTGTGATTATTGGTATATCTTTCTCCTGTAAATCTGGCTTTACTAGCCTCCCCAAAACATTCTTCCTTAATCAATGAAACGCAAATGGCCATTTTTCTGTATTTGTTTAACTCGCTCGTATAATATGCTGATTGGATAAAAAGAAAACAAATATCATTTAAGATTTTATGAGAATTTTTCCCATCTACACTGGAACACTATTAGAGACAAGCCAATCATCTGGAGAAGGAAACTCCAACAGAAAAACTGCAAGAAAAGTTTACTATCAAACACACACAACTCGTTTTGTTTTAAGGTATATACATTGTACTTAAACTGGTGGGGCATCAGGCGCCTGATGTTCTTAAGATTTCACTATTTCATAGTTGACGGCTGTCCAATATTTCTTCATCTCCGGTGAGGAGCCTTCCAAAATATTTCCAATGGAAGCCAAAAATAATCATTTAAGAGACCAACTGATATTAGACGCTCATCACAGCATGTTAACGTTAGCCAATATATGACCTGCAGGATAAACAAATATTTGGCTGTCGACAGACAAAATGAACTAATGTTTTCATGAAATGGAGAAAAAATTTTGTTTTGCGATTTTTGAGAAAGATGGATTTCATCTTGTAATCTTAATCGTTTTCTCTCGCTTTTTCTTTCTGTAATTAATTTTGATTTTTTCAGTGTTTTCTTATTATTTATTAGACGGTATGTGAATTGGATTTAGATATTCCGTTCGAACGGAAAAAATAGATGATTTCCGATGGTTGGGATATTTTCAAAAACAAACGGAATGTCTTTGTTTTAGTGTTGGTCTTATATTCTTATACTAATTGTGAAGTGCCTACATAAATCTATCTATCTATCTATCTATCTATCATCTATCTATCTATCTATCTATCTATCTATCTCATTTTGTTCATTTCTATCTATCCCATTATTTATCTTCATATATCTCTGTGACGTCGTCCCCGGTCGCAGCGCCAACTGTGACGTTCTATCCTGATCTACCACGGCCAGTTGTGACGTCCCATCCCGTTCCAGGGTCCTATCCACCAATTCACGACACCAGCCGCGACGTCAGCTAAACAGCACCTCGCTGCTCCGTCCGGATGTCGCTGCTCCAAACGTGACGTCCGCCTGTCGCGTCAGTCGTGTTGTCTCGTCCTGTGACGACCAACTGGCTTGGTATCGGTCGCGGCACCCAAATGTGACGTTCTAACCTTTTGGTGATTCGGGTGGGAATCTGGTTAGATTTGATATCAGCCTCGCCGTTCCCAACTCGCTTCCAACGCCTGGTTACCAAGGTAACTGCACTGATCTCCAGTCTGCCTACCCACGTTGTGAATTGATCTTAGACAGACGAGATCAAACAGTGGTTGGGGCCGTAATGCAAATTGAGTTCAACGGGGTGATAACACACAAATATGCATAAAAGAAAATAAAATGAAAACTCAAAGTTCAAAGTATCAAAGAAAAAGGTAACAAACTTTATGTCTAGTTGTTCGATACATAGGACTGCATCTATCTCCCGACCCGTTCTGTGGATTGTGACACGTCGTTTTCGCTAGGCAAGTTTTAACGCTTCAAGTTGTTTGCTCTCTAAGAAATTTGTGTTTCGGTGTGTCTTTGGACGAAAGTCGAAAAAACTTATTTCGGTGGTCTGGTCCTAAGTCGCTCTTCAAAATAATTGTTCTTGGTTGAAGAGGAGTCCGAAATTTTGCGTGAATCTTGGTCAGCTATCTTGAGGCGGCTTCAACTCTGAAACTCTGGAGCTCGAACTCTCTGGACACTCATCTCTGCTGCCAGGGTTCGAACTACTGGGCACTCATCTCTGCCGTCAGGGCGCGAACTGATTTCTGCCTGTTGGGGCCTTTTTTATTGACGCCGACAAAAACCGGGTTGGGTCTGTTGGCGTCGGGGAGTTCCTCGATAATTCTAAATACATATCCACCTCTTTTATTTCTGGTTAGGGATTTTCCACTCTTTTCCATTTTTGGTAACTTTTTTTCACTCCCACTTTCTCACCATGCTTCTGAGGGGCGTGAACTGCCCTCCCCACTTCTTCGTAGCAGCTTCTCATACTTATACTCTGGATGGGGGCGTCGACAGCCTTCTTCGTGCGTCACGTGATCACTCTCGGCCAATGAGGTCTTGGTCGGGTATCTTTCCTCCTCCTTCGTGCGTCATGTGATCACCACTTGACCAATGACGTCTTAGTCGGGCGTGAACAACCCGCGGCTTTGTTTCGGAAAAAAATACCTTGCTTAACTAAAAAAAATATTATCTTTTCCTCTTTCCTTTTTTTCTTCCTTTCAAATCGCCGTTATCATGAACGGATAATATGACAACTCTTTGTTCAACACGTGGCGTTTGTCAAGTAGTTTATCGCTAATTCATCAGATGGCTGGTTTTCCGACATGGCCTCAGAAAAGAATTTTCCCCAAGTTTTCAGTCAGTCTGACGTCTCCAAGAAAGAAATAAAACATTTTTTATTCCATTCATTTTCCTTCGGTTCATGTGTCTGATAACAAAATTTTATTATCGCAGGGCAAAAGTTTGTTTTGTCGAAAAGAATTTAGTTAGCGAGACTGCTTGTGTGGGATTTTAATTTTCCATATCTAGCTAAGGCTCCGTAGCTACACCTGTGTTTTGTCAATTATCAAAATCTAACGTTTTCAAGTGGACTTTCCTTGGCGAACATTTCTTGATAACACAATTCCATTCGCGCAGGCCAAGTAGGAAAATCGGTCAATGATTGCTCGTAGGTGGCCTTTAATTTTCATATCTGTCCAAAGTCTTTTTTAGTCGCCTGTTTCTTGTCGTCACTTATCGAAATAACATTTTCGCTTGAATTTTTCCCTTGGCCGGTGGTCTGTGTTTTGATAATAAGATGCCTTCTCGTACCAATAATTTGTTTTCATATCCTTAGATAACACTTCCCTACCCACTCAATCTCATTGTCATTGTAATGACACTCTTCCGCCATTTGCCACTTATCCAACATAACCCTTTTTTTATTGCCTCTTAAGCCGTGTGTGTGTTCGCTTATCACCTATGATCCGTCTCGCATTACTTTTTCCCTTCCTTTCTTCTTTTCTTTCCTTTTCCCTTTTTTGCATTTCTTTCTCTGCCTGGATGCATGGTGCCACATCTCTCTATATATCTATATCCCTCTCCCCCTCTCTTTCTTTCTTTCTCTCTCTCTCTCTCTCTATATATATATATATATATATATACTTTTCATTTCTATGAATGCATTTATCTATTTAACTATCTATTTATCTATCTTTCTATATTCACTTAGTTTCTATTTATCTATCTTTCTATCTATCTATCTATCTATCTCATATTGTTCATGTGTCTATCTATCCCATTATTTATCTTCATATATCTTTCTATATATCTATCTACCTCTCCCCCTTTTACTTTCTCTCTCTCTCTCTCTCTCTATATATATATATATATATATATATATATATATATATATATATATATATTCATTTCTATGAATGCATTTATCTATTTAACTATCTATTTATCTATCTTTCTATATTCACTTAGTTTCTATCTATCTATCATTCTATCTATCTTTTCTTATCTATTTATCTATGTGTCAGATTGCTGGAATAAATTTGCATACGGAAATAGAGATGAAATTTGCAACGTATATTTCATTGCATAATGGTATAGATCTATAATTTATAACCAATACGAGATTAAAAAAGGCATGTTCCTTTGCCTTCGTATTTCTCTCTGTTTACTTATCTATCTATCTATCTATCTATCTATCTATCTATCTATCGATCTATCTATCTATCATTATCGTTTCATCAGTATATATATATATATATATATATATATATATATATATATCAATCTGTTCATCTCTCACCACTATCTATCTAACTATTAATCACGGTTTGTTCATATCTGTTGTAGAGTAGCTAGCACCCCTTCAACACTATAGAATGCATGCCTCATAGCCTTCAATAGTCTCCGATTACGGACTTCAACATTTGATTAATAAATAGATACTAAGCTGATTAATATTCGGATTGATCTTATTTCGTTTGACTATAGAGTATTTGACCCTCCTCTATTTTTTGCAAGATATAATTGTTTTGTAACATACTGTTGTGTGTTTTTTGTATGCATCCATTAGCACCTAATATATTAGGCACTCATTCTTATCTGTGTATCATTCAACTCGTCTATACAACACTCTTTCGTAATCTGTTCATATTAATCTATCCATTTCTGTTCATATCTATCTGTCTATCTATTGCACATAACAAAACGCATATAGTGCTGAATTGTCGATAGGTAAGTAATAATAATTATTGTGAAGATATGTAATAATGATTATTGTGATGATAAATATGTGTAAAACGGTACACAGTCCTCATTTTTTTTCTACATACTAATCAACAAGCACTTGCACAAAATAGTGTTTTTCTTTTCTTAAACACCCCACACACAGAGAGACAAAGAAGGAGACTGAATAACACAGAAAGAGGAAGAGAGAGAGAGAGAGACTATTTAAGATTATTAGGCATATTTCTGTCTGTTTACTTATCTATCTATCTATCTATCTATCTATCTATCTATCTATCCATCTATCTATGACAGCACATCAATAAATTCGTTACATGACACTTAAATTTAATGTAAAATTTATATTATTTAATATCAATTTATATGATTAATATGTACTACAGAATTAAACGCAAGGATATATATATATATATATATATATATATATATATATATATATATATATATATATATATATATATATGTATGTATGTATGTATGTATGTATGTATTTATATTATTTTGGATGTATTTGTGCAAGTATATTTCATACATTCGTCATATTTCTCTGTATATCTAGTTATTTCCCTAATAATTTTTGGCACGAAGCTGAAATTTGATCACTAAATTCTATATCTATATGTATGATTTTTACTGATAGATTTTACTGAATTAAAGGCAAAGAAATGAATTTTCATTATGCTTCCTATCCATCTATGTCGGAAATTGTATCAATCTTTTTGTATCATGATTCGAAGCTTAATTTACATCTCAAATTAGTTTTTACAATACGCAATGTAAAACATTCATTTTTAATACTGAAATAAATCCAAATAAATTCATCTTTATCTATCTATCTATCTATCTATCTATCTATCTATCTATCTATCTATCTATCTCAGACTGTCCATATCTATCTATCTATCTATCTATCTATCTATCTATCTATCTATCTATCTATCTCAGACTGTCCATATATATCTATCTATCTATCTCAGACTGTCCATATCTATCTATCTATCTATCTATCTATCTATCTATCTATCTATCTATCTCAGACTGTTCATATCTATCTATCTATCTATCTATCTCAGACTGTCCATATCTATCTATCTATCTAGCTAGCTAGCTAGCTAGCTATCTATCTAGCTATCTATCTGTCTGTCTGTCTACCTATATATCTCAGGGTTGGTGCATGTGTTTCTATGTTACTTCCAGTGTTATTTTTTACACTTGTAAAGTTATAGAAAAATTGTCTTGTTTGTTGAACTATTTTAATTTCTCGTACTGAAGATATATATATATATATATATATATATATATATATATATATATATATATATATATATATATATGATGAATTAAAATAGATACATCGTTGTAATTGGATGAATGTTTTTTTTTTATATTAAAGTTTACAATGCGACATGGGGTCCGGTTGGGATTAAAGAGTCCCCTTATTTTTTGCCACCAAGGAGTTTAATGTGCAAAAGCGAGAATGAAAAGAATAGGAAAAGAGACATGTACCATTTCTTATACTACTTTATTCAAAGACACCTTGTGGCATTAGGAAAAAAAATACAGTGTGGTAATCCCAGTTTCACGGCAAAAGAAATTTCATGTTTTCTACTCGAGCAGGTAAACATATCGTTCAGTGATTATTTGCCAAAAAGATAATTAATCCTGTCAAATTTTGTGACATGTCAGTGACACGTTCTTTCTTGCTAATAAGCATTCCAAAAGCTAAACATGGTACGTTAGAAATAAAGAAAAGTGTATTTGATTTCTCTGTGTCATACATCCTGTTATACAGCAGTGAATACTGAACAATCCACTGATACGGAGAAAAGTAGACGCAGCAGAAATGTGATTCTACAGAATCATACTGAAAATTGCATTAACAGAGCGAGTAAGCAACAGTTACTCAATTATGCGCCAAGCGTGATACATGCTTAGCCGATACATGACTGACGAGGCAAATTTTCCTACAGTAGGTTGCCATTTCTTTCTGCGGCAGATCAGTTGCCATACAAGTTTATAGAACCCAGTTTGTCCTGGTACTTATTCTTAGCTGGGGGAAAAGAAGAAAATTCATACTTTTCCCAAGAGTATTAGCACGTAAGTGCATATGATGGATTCGACTGGAATTCAAACTCGGCTCTCCGGGTAAGCAAGTAGGAAGTATTAAGAAAATGGCAACAGAAAAATCAATTCTATATAGAATCAGAAAAAAAGTTAATTGATATTACTTGCAGACATAATGAGGAAGGAAGGCTTATAAACTTTACACTCACAGAGCAAGAGAGGTCGGAGAAGTTAGCAAGTCTCTTACTTTACGAGGTTTTGCGAATGGAAAGTGGAACACAGTCAAGACCGTTAGCAATGGGTAAAAAAGTGCTATGAGCCATACGCGATAGGAAGCTGAGGAGAACCATGATCGATTATATCCAAATATCCCGAATATAGAAGAAATAGACAACATATTATTTTTCCATTATTTCAAGTACATATTTAATATGCATAATTTCAAGGAAGATTTTATTAAAATTTACCGACGTTTCAACTAAGGTATTTCTTCTTCTATGTGCCGGGTTCCATCAAAACATTGGTGAACATGGCTCTCCACAATTCTCTGTCTTTTTTAGCTCTGAGTAAAATTTGTCTTTTTTTTTTACCATTCCGAAAAAAACCTGTTTGGTCACAAGTTCGTTAGGTACATTACACAGACTTTTCCTCTGTTCGTCTTGACTTCAATATCTTCTGTCAGTGGCAGATTCTCCAAGCTCTCTTTCTTCGTTGCGTGCACTAGAAAATACAATGTTTTTTACTGTTTTTTATTAATGGTAAGTTATTTTTTGTTTCTATTTTCATTAAACCTCTTCATTGCAGATGAATTGATAAAGATATTGGGGGTTATTGAATTGGTTTTCTATGTGTGTTTCTTCTTTGGATAGATATTGCTGGTTACAATTTCGTAACGGTCTTAAGTAGATTCCTATCGCTGTACCGGATTTAATTTTATAGGAGTGGTTTCAGTAGAAGTTGACCAGGTCGAGTTTAGTTGGTAGCTTTTCTATAAACGTCAACGTTTAGTTCGCTATTGTTTCTGTGTAACATGATGTCTAGAAAGGAAAGAGTGTCATTTGCTTTAGGTTCAAACGTGAAGTCTCGACGTTCTAAATTTACAATCCTTGATAAAAAAAAAATTGCCATCTTCGCCTCTGTGTCTATGAACACACGCAGCATAAAAATCCTATTTAAACTTACAATCAGTGGACGAAATGTGTCGGTTAAGTAAACTTGTTCCTCTTGTGACTTTTTGATTTTTCTCTTCTACAGATACACTTAATCTGAGAAAATTCACACACATACACACACACTATATATATATATATATATATATATATATATATATATATATATATATATATATATATATATATATGAAGAAAAATATATACGGAAAAAAAAAAAATTTTATATACAATTATGCTGTTTTAATGTTAAGAAAATACAGAATTCAGAAATACAGCAGCGTGATGACAATCCCCTAGCTTGCACAAAAATAGTCGTAGGAATACAGTCAAATGAATGTAAACTTTGGCCCGTTTATTTCTAGGAGGATATTATATTTGAGGAGAAAGCGTATATGCGTATGCGTCTCTCGTTGTGCATATGAGTGCGTTATTTTTGCTTATGTAAACATGCATCATGTGCATTTCAACATCGTACATAAATAGAAGATATGTCATCGATGTGTTAATGCGTTTTGTTCGCTGACTAATCACTATTTTAATCCTTCTTTCCAATTTACTGTCAGCAATATTTACCAGAGGCATTAATCGTAAAAGATCATTGCAAATGTTCTTCATTGTTCTTACTTTAATACTCGGACATGAATTGGTAATGATTATATATATATATATATATATATATATATATATATATATATATATATATATATATAATATATATATATATATATATATATATATATATATATATATAGAGAGAGAGAGAGAGAGAGAGACAGAGAGACAGAGAGACAGAGAGAGTGAGGGTGACCCCCCAAAAACGGGAATTTTTTAAGTGCGTATTGCCAGACAAGAGCAAGTGGCAACACTGCGAGAATGTGACCTTGAGCAAGTAAACATTTCGCCATTTAGAATTCAAGATGAAATTCACAGTATCCCAGCTGAGATGTAGCAGTCAATGAGGAATCTCAACAGCAGATTTCAAGAATGCATTCGTACAGGAGAACGACATCTACATGACGTAATTTTTAAAAAATGAAAATTCCATCATTGTTTCTTAAATGACATGGTTTAAGGTTTAAATTACTATGAATTAAATATTTTTCTTCCATCAATCCTGGTTTTATTGGATTGTTAAAAGTTCCCGTTTTTTGGGGTCACCCTATATATATATATATATATATATATATATATACATAAATACCCGTGTGTGTATGTGTTTGTTTTTGCGGGGGGGGTGCGCGTGAATGTATGTGTCTGTGTGAATATTTGTATCGTTTCTTTTTTCTTTGTACGATCGAAAGTGTTTGATAATTAAATTATACTATTGGAAATATTCTTTTTCGGTTATTATGATTTCACAGTATTTTTCTTATGTCCTGTCTGCCTCTGTGTATTTGTAGACGCGTGTGTGATTCTCTCTCTCACTCTCTCACTCTCTCTCTCTCTCTCTATCTCTCTCTCTCTCATTCAGACTCTATCGTATTTCACTGGAATCAAAAAGATAATCCAACTACGAGCTAATTTTAGTTGGTAATTGAGAAAACATTTTAAAATCCAACAATATTAATGTCAGTTTTTTTTTTTTTCGTTTATTTTACTGAGCTGAAACCCATGATTAACCAGATTCAATTTGGGCTAAAAACTTGATATGCACTATAACACATATCCATGTCTTGTTTGTTTTACGTTACTCACATTAACAAACAAATCTTTTTTAAAAAATAAAATTACCAACTCAACCCTTATGCAATTATAAACGCCGTAAATAACTTAGATTATTTATTTGCCAAATATAAGTTGATTAGAATTAAATTAAGTACACTTCAGTATTAGTTCGAGGGGAAATATTACTGTTATTAAAGGCCATTGTTTGGATAATTGATTACGAGAAAGATAATTATTGATACGGCTCTATGATTAACACAGTCCGCAGTCAAAGTGTTTTTGTCTTCAATGGAGCCTGGTAGGCTCTCGTCACTAAAAAACAAAATTCATTTTCCTGAATTTAAAACCTGTTTTGGGAATTAAAAAAAAAACTAAAAACATCTAATCGGCGCCTCCTGTCTGTGTTCAAGCAGAAGCAAAACATGTTGTATGTTTTATTTATTTTTTATTTAATCAGATAGCATGTTGCCAGTTGCAAAATTGACGCTACAGACTCTTTCATTTCGCCTTTCTAAATAGAAAACGATACCTGAGGTTATCATGATCTGAACATGTTAAAAACGAAGAAGTATTCTCCTGGCGTCAGTTTACACTTTGTATGTTCTTGATTCCAGATAAAAACTTGGATATTTTGGAATATATTTTAGTGAAGTGGTCACTTTCCGAAATTATACATCACGTTTAGTTTAGAGACGCGGAACAATGTTTCAATCTAAAATGACATAAGTAGTAATTGGATAATTGAAATATGAACTAAATTTACACATACACATAAAAGCAGAAAGGGACTGTTAACATTTTGAGGCAACTATTGTCACCAAGGGAAGGTTACTGAATAGAATAATCAAACGAATGTTGGTAATGACGGATAATACTTAGGACAAGAACAACACATAAAGTTTCGCCAGCGGCGCGTAGAAGGAGTCAACTGCTAGAAGTGAGTCAAGTTAATTCCACAATGAATCTCCAACTGAAGGATATCTACCAACTATCCCACGCGGTCAGATGTGGCACAAGTCTGAATTTAATGTGGGGGATACGAGCCGGTATGTTCAGCCAAAATTTCCACGTCGAGCTCGTATAAAAACGGGGCCAGGTAGCTGTTTCCCGAGAGGAGAATCTACCCTTCGACATACCCTCGGCTAGGGATCCCCTCTGACCAGAGGCAGAGAGTTTGACCTGCACAGCTGGAAGACGAATCTCCAAC